ATATTTTGATCAGAATTATTAATCAAAATCATTTTTATAAAAGAAATTTAATTATACAAAAGTTTTTTACTTTTATGTAACATTATATATTTATTAAATAAGATAATTTTTTACTTATAATTTTTAACTAAAATAGTTGATCTATATGATTTTATGATTTATAATATTTAGTTATATAATATATGACTTTAAAATTACAAAATTTTAATATAATTATATCATATATCAATACTAATTAATAAAAGTCTTATATATATATATAAGTTATATAATATATATAACATAATATATATTAATTTTGTAATAACTATTATTATAAATAATATTTATATATTTAATAAATTTTTTATAAAAATATTATAAAAATATTATTTTTTTAAAATTAAAAATTTTTATATAATTAATTTAATATAAAATTAATTTATAAAATTGAATAATTAAAGTTAACTTATTAATCATAGTAATTTATCATTATATTTATCTTTAAAACTTTATTTCTTAATAAATAATTTTTTTATTTTATATAATTTTATTACTTTTATTATCATTTAAATTATAAGAATTATTATTCAAATTTTAATTATTAATTATTATACAAAAATTATATATTAATTTATAAATTTTTTATTTTTAATTAAATATATTATAAAATAAATTATAAATATATTATTTTTTTTATATATAAACTAGCTGCTAATCTATTATTTTGCAATGGAATCATAGAGAGACTTTCTTCTAATTAGTTTAAAATATTAATCAGCATTTCTATAATAAGTATAATCAATAAAAAGGTTGATTAATAATAAAATAATAAATATGATCACATGATTTAGACTATATAATAAATTTGACATATAATAATAATATATATAATATTTTATATCTTCAGTAAAAGTAATGAAAGCAAATTAAAATAAAATAAATCATTAATTATTTAATAGTTTTATTATTTTCATATTATACAAGAAGTATTTCAATTTTTTTTTAACTTTTTAAAATACAAGTTTTAAACCTTTTTTTATATTATTTAGAAGTTTTAAACAAATTTTATAATAATATAAAGATCTTTAAGCTTTATTATTATAGTATGTTACCTCTAAACAAATTTTTTAAAATTGTAATTATTTTAAATTATTTTTGCAAGTAGTTAGTTAACATTCTAAAGAATTAAACGGTAAGTAAAAATTTTTTTTACTAAATATAATACTATTTTCTGAAAAAGTACTTTAAACTATATAAATAATAATAAATTTAATTAATCTGCAATAGTCAATCATAGGAAAGTTTATGTAATAGAGTAGATCACGTGATATTATATAAATATCTGAAAAAAAAAAATTTGTGTGACAAATTTTGAGACTTGAACTTGAATTTTATTGAGAAACAAAATTTTTTTTTTTATAATTTTGAGTAATGTTATATACTTTAAGCAGTGTATTTATATAAATAATCTAAGCGTTACCATTACGCATATTTTTTTTATTATATAAAATTTAATAATATTAATTATTTAAAGTAAATAATTTTAATTTAAAAATTGATTAATTATTTATAATAAAAAATAAAATAAAAATTATTTAAAAAAAAATAATAAAATAATTATTTAATAATTATAAAATAAATATTTTATATTAAATATATAAAAGATTAATATTTATTTATATAATAAAATTATTAACTATTTAATTTTTTTGATAGATTTATTATATTTTAATAGTTTACTAAGTCATTATTTAAAATAGCTTAGTTTTAATTTTAATAAACTTTTAATAAGTTTATAAAAATAATTATAATTAATTTATTAATATAATAAAAATTTTAAAATTATTAAATATAATATTAATAATATTTTAAAATTAATTAATTAATTATTTATTAATTCTAATCTATTATTTTATATAAAATAATTTAATAATGATATAGCAAAGATTAGATTAATTTTATATAATATAATAATTAAATTTAAAAACAATTTTTTATGTATACATTTTATTAAAAAATAAAATATAGTAATTTAATATAATTATATAAAATTTCCTTATAAATTATATTTTATCTGATAGTTTTAAGAGTTTTTATAACGATTATTTATAAGAATTTTGATATTTTACTATAAAGTAACTTATAATAATATAATATATAATTAATTATAAGAAAAAATTAATTATAATAAATAAAGATAAATTTAGTTTAAGATGTAACAGCTTGATCTTTTATTGCATATTCTTTTTATATTAATTTGCAACTTTAGATATTTTGTCAAAAGTTAAATAAAATTACAATAAATTATAATTATATATATTATAGAAGTATTATTATATTAGATTAAAGAATATATAAGTAATTTATAGTATAGAAATAATATAGTAATTTATAAAAGAAATTTACAGTTTAAAGTGAATATATAGCTTTTAACTCATATATAATTAGTTTAACATGAAAATTCATTCAGTATATATAGTATAATAATAAAAAAAATATTTATAAAATAATATTTTTTTATTTATTAATAATTTATAATATCAAATTTTATCAATAAAGATATATATTATTATAAAATTAACAATTATTTTTTATATTTAGTAGTTATTATTTTCTAATAAATAAATTTAATTTTATTATTATAATATTCAAAATAAATGAAAAGTTTGCTAAGAAATCAGATTCCGAGAATTTTTTGACTAAAATTAAAATCTTATTACATTTTAATCTAATAATATCAAAAACTAAAAATCAAAATTTTATTAAAAAATTTCTAGAGTCTGATTGTTTTAGCAAACTTCCCAAATAAGCTTAAGATCTTCTTCTACACTATTTTTATATCATGCCACTATAAAGAACTATGTATTTAAAATAAATTTAAATATTTATAGGCAGTATTTCAAAAAAAGAAGTTGCTGCTAAAAAAATCTGCAAAATACCAGGAAGCTCAATACTAGTTGCAGATTTTTTGATTATTGATTTTCCATTTTTGTACTGTATTTATATAAAATAATTGTTAATTAAATTATTTTATATAAAATAACATTATATATATTAAGATATTCATATAATATATTAATATATTATAATATTATTTAAAGTACTCTATTTATTTTAATTTAATTATTATAATTATAAAAAATTAGCATTATTAGAAATTTTATAACTATTTTATATAATTATTTTAATAAGAATAAAAGTGTAGTTACATAATCAAAAGGATTAAAATAAAAGAACATTATTTTTATAATATATATTATATATTTTTAGGAATAGAAAGGTAAAGTTGTAATATATATATTTTTTTATTTTGGCAAAATTCTAATATGCTATTTTTTGTTTTCAATCAATTAATGAATTTAAAAATTTATTATTAAGAAGATAAAATTATTATGCAAATTATTACTTAAAAAAAATTCGGGACTAAATACTTTAAGCCAATGTTAGAATCACGTGATAGTGAAAAGTTTAACGGTAATATACTTTTTTATAAAAATTATCATCCCCAGGATATATGGAAAAAGCTATGAAACTCAAAGTTTAACGAGGTCACGTGTTGTGAAGAGTAATTAGCAAAGAACGAAATATCACAAAAAAAAAAAAAAAAAATTTTACATTTTAATAACAAATTTGTTCAATCAATCCGTTTCGATCGAGAATTGAGTTTAATAGTCTGTTAAAGTTTGATAAGATGAGTTTAAGTAAAAGAAATTCATATAAAAGGCACAGAAGACACAAAATTAATTAGTGTGATCTGAAATAGATTCTTGATCAGAAATCACTAGATACAAGTCATGTTTATATTTGAATTTTTTCTTTTCTTTTTTTTTTGGTTGTTTGGGCTTCACCTTAGTATTGATCAATAAAAGATATATTGTGAACTGACTATGAAATGCAAGTTTCAAGATAATTAATAATTATTTTATATATATCACATCGAGTTGTAGATGAAAATAATATTGCGATATAATAATTTAAAACCATCTATTGCTAAGCAGTTGAACAAATGTTTTGTTACGCAGATAAACGCTCAGCAGGAAAGGTTCATGTTACGTTTTGTGAAGATCATATTTTAAATCCTATATGGCCAACGGACCAAGAGCTATAGAAAGGACTTCAAGCTGTAACATTCTGACATGACTTGCCTTCTCATCTAGGATGATCGCGTGTTGATGGAAGGAGGAATATGAATCACTGAGATGAAGAGTTTAAGATTTAATCTACTTTCATTTTTTCTTGAGTTGTAAATTCTCATTATAAATTCTGACTGAATGTACTTTCTGATTGGATTGTATTTGTATAAAGACATTTAGCGATGATAAAATTTAACGGAATACATACATACAATGAGTAAAACACCATTTCAAATATTAAATTCAGATAATATCAATTACATAGCTTCTCAGGTTATAAAGTAATGCAAGTGACTATGGCCGGATGGTCACGATCTAAAGTTAGAAACTTTACCACATCGGATTTGTATGCAATGTATGATTGTTCCCTAAGGGGAATGGTTTTTGATTATGTGACCGAAATTTCTATTGTTTACCCTATTTTTCACATTTATTGTACCTTAATAGCTCATATTGATCTAATCAAAATTTCCTATACAAATGCAAATATGCTTCGTTTAGTCTTTATTTTCTTAGTTTAATAAAACAAAAAAAAAAAATCGAATTAAAAATGAATCAAGCAATTTAATAAGAAATACCTTTTTAAACGAAAAGTTTAAAGTAAACGAAAAATGAAAACGCTCGTAAAAAAAAATATTTATTTTTTATTTTAATAAATATGGAAATCTAAAGTCTTAAACTAGGACCATTGAAGTAAAATTGTTTTTTATAAAAAAAAGTTACTAATTCATATCCCTTCTTTATGTCCTTAACCTAAAATAACTTAATCCAAGCGCCTAACCTTAAATAACCCAGTGGGTGACATATAATGGTGACAAATAAGATTTTATACCACCAAAAATATTGGTTACACGAGTTGGTTTAATTCACGATCAGATAAATTTTCTAAAGTTTATAACCGTCATCATTTTGTTGCTGGTTAACTTTCCATAAATTTCTTAAAGATTGTAATGATTTATTAAATTGCTGAGCAGAACTAGTTCTTTTTGGAATAGTAAAAAATTTATTACGAGAATTAGTATTATTCAATTCATCTTCTTCGGGTTCTATTATATCGTCAGTAGTAGGTCTTAATGATTTTCTTCTACTTTTACTCCCTCTTAATGTTAAATTAAACGGTATAACTGAATTCTTTACTTCCGAATTAGTTATTTCATTATTTGATCGACGGTTTCTAAAGAATCCACTATGTCGTTTTTTATTATCAACGATTGGCATTGATTTTTCACCATAACCAGAATCACGTACTAAATTACCAGAACTTTTACTTTGAAGGGTGTTGACGGCATTATCCCTTTCTTCTGATTCTTTAGAGGAAATTTTAACATTATCGCTAATAATTTCTGCCACCTTTATTGATCCGCATTGACTATTTTCTTGAAGATTCATTGGTTCTTTGCTTTTTTGATTACCTGATACATTTTCTGATGAATTTTCAAACGTTTTAATCTCAACCTCTTGACAGGTTCTTTGAATAGGATCAACCCCAATAGTATCAATTAAATTCATAATACGACCAATAACTGCATCATCCCAAACATCATAATCTCTATCATCTCTATCATCTCTATCATCTTTATCATTATTTTCAACAGTATTATCGTTAGTATTAATATTAATACTAGTAGTACCTTTAACAAAAGAAGTACGTTTAGATTTTTTCGGTTTTGTTAATAAGTTATACGACTTTCTTTGGTTAAACAACAACGATCTTAGGCTTTCTTTTGTGGTAGTATAAATAATCGGGTCATCCTTTTGTTGCTCCAATTGATGTTGCACTTGTATCAAAGGAAGATTTTCTTCTTCTAACTTTTCTTGAACTTGTGAAAGCGGTAAATGCTCCTGTTCGTAATGGCTTGTTAGTGATCGATGAGCAGCATTACGCATTAATATCGTTTCCTTTAATTGTTTCTGTCGCTGTTGTCTTACTAATTGTATCAAAGAAGCATTGTTTGTTGCTATTTCATTTTTTTCGGAATGATTTTGAACGCTAATGTTATTATTAACTTCTTTTGTGGTTGAAGTTTCAGTAACTTTGGAAGTATTTAAAGAAGTATCCGTCGAGTTAGATTTGAATATTAATGATACTACGGATTTTAACATTGTTTTTTTTTTTTTTTATATTGTTATAAAAAGGGAAATTAAAAAAAGGAATAGTGACATATGAGAATAACAAAAAAATTTATTTCTATTTTTTTTTTTTTTTTTTTTTTTTTTAAAAAAAAAATAAAAAAAGGGAGAAAGTTGGGTATGTAAAAGAGAAAAAGTTAATGAAAAGGACAATTAGCAGGTATAAATATTAAAGCATGTATGATGAAAATGAACATTTTCAATAAAATTTTTTTTTTAATAGGTTCATTTACTCAAAAATTAGTTCGTGTGCTTGCTTAAAGAAAGTTGGACAAAAATCAACTGATAAGCATATAACCTCATTTAGAAAATCATTCAATGATTTCGATTTAAGGTTAGAACAAAGTCTTAGGTAAGCATTGATGGTCAAATTAAAAAAAAAATTAGAGCCCCTAAATGGATTATGAGCCTCGTAAATTTTCTTGATTTTTTTCCTGGTTATTAACTTATCGATACGATTTTCCTCGTTGCTTAATAACTTTTTTTATATAAATGGCTTTTGAAAGATAGCGAAATGGATAATCAGCATTGTAGCAGTGCAGTTTTCTGCGACAGTTAGCTGATCACATGAATCATATCCTATCCATATGTGATTGGACAAAGAAAAGAAGCGTTACCATGTAATTTTCATACATCCAAAAATGCTGTGTGATAGATAACGCATAAGAAATTTGTAAATAAATAACCTATATAACTTTGAATGTATAATTTGGTGTTGTTCTATTAAAAATTTGCCATGACGTAACTTTATTTATGCTCATTATTTGTAAACTATTCCGCAATAATAAAGGTTGAAGCTTTTGCACGTAAAAACGCAAGTCTTGACTTATATACCTCGATTCTTCGAAAAAAGTTTTAAATAATTTATCATGTTCATATGAACATCAATGCTAAACTAGCTTCTGGTCATGCTAAGGTATATAAGTTTTTTTTTAAGTAAAATTTTTATAACAAAAAAAAAAGGCTTAAATTTAATTAAGATTTTTCTTACCAATCACCAAAATTTTCCCAGCAGCAAAAATACGACTTTATCAAAACTTTTTGTTGAATCCATAATATCTTTTAATCTTAACGAATACGTCTTTTGATTTAAAATATTGACCATATAAAATATATAAAAAAATAAAGGGTCAAAAATACTTTAAAACGTTAAATTGATTTGAACTTTAGGCAAATTGTGCTTACATTTCTCGTTAATTCTTTTTCCAATAGGTCTCTATTTTCATAAATTCTGCATATCCCGAAGGTTTCAAAACCTAAAAATTCTTTGTAACGAAAATTCTTAATTTATATATTATAACGTAATAAACCTTGCCTCTAAAAAAAAAAATTTTTTTACCTTTTACCACTTGTAACCATTGCTTTGCAAAGAAAGCTACGTATAGTAATTTTTGATGTACAGAATCGAAAGTTTTTGACGGGAAGGGAAGTCCTTCAAGCACATAGCATTCGATAAATTCGGCATTCTTTGGTTTGTTTTCTGTCGGAAAAATTGGAGACATATCTAATCCAATAAATTTACTGCCCTGTGCCCTGCTCCACATCTAATAAATTTTGAATCTTTTTTTTT